AGTCGGTGTCTGGGCGCAGTTGGTAAGTTGGATCTGGCAATCTCGCAGATTTTGCTGATCCCGCTACACCACAACAAGCTGAAAGATACACCCGATTCATCCTCGCACAGCGACTTTACTCAATGCTCAGCAACACACAAAGCAACACACGGCGCTGAAGCAAAAAAGGAGTCTCTTGAAGCAGCACAAGTTGAGCAAGAGTCTCAAGTTTGGGAGCAGGAGAACCAGTCCCGCTGGAGAAAAAACCTCGACACTTCTCGCCTGTCAAAATGCGTGATTTACGTAAAAATGCGGCGTCGTGAGCGTGCGAATGTTGTCGTTCTGTCTTCTGAAGAAAAATACTGCTACGCCAAAGCTGTATTTGACCCTGTGCTGGATTATCTATCTCAACTATCTAGCCCAAAATTCTGCATGGCACTACAGTCATGGCGGGATATAGTACGCAGGGGTATGCGAGAAAGGGACACCACGTCATCGCAGAAAATGGCGGATTCCGATTTAGAGTCGGGCGACGACAGCGACGATTCAGAGAGTGAAAGTGCATCTGAAAGTGCATCTGAAATTACACCCGCCGATCTAATGGAGTCAATGAAGTTGATTCGACAGCTTGAAGAAGAAAAGAACGGAGAGTTTTCTTTTGCACCTGCGGCTGTACACACACCATCGTCTAGAGTTACAGCAGAATGTATGCTGAATCACAATGAAAGACCTAATTCGGGTCTTACAACGACGGCGCAGACACTGACACAGGCTTGGCGGCAAACAATGGAGTCGCCTCCAGCCAAATGTGAGCCATCTAAAACTGTGGAGCTCCGAACAAAGCGAGGGGTCCATACAAGAGACGCCAAGCTCTTAAAGCAAAAGGCGCGGGAGCCAGACCAGATAGACGTGCTAAGGTTTCCCCAATCTAAGCCTCGACACAACGAGAGAAAAAAAAAGCAAGTTCGCTTGGCGGCATCCTCGAAGCCACAGAAACTGGCAGCCATTGAACTTCCCGACAAGCGCGTGTTATGTCTATCTCGACTACTGGAGCGGGCTCCAAATACTAAGGACAGATATCACGTTAGCGAGCTGATGGCAAACTATCCAGTCATCATGGACGACGACTTCATGGGAGCGCGTTCTGCGCGCTGTCAGCGTTCGTATGTATGCGCCGATGACTACGACTACAACTTCGTCATTCCTAAGCACCTAGTGAATAAGCTGGGACGCAGTGGTCGAAGCGGAGAAGATGAAACGAAAGAAATCCAGCTATTTCGGTAACGATTCGGAAGCCGATCACTCCGAAGGTACCACGAACGAGATCATCGCGTTCTTTCCTGGAGGCACTCCAAAGTTCAACAGGTTTGTTGTCTGTACTGCTGTGTTGCTCATTGTGTTGCTTACTATGTTGCTTATAATGTTGCTTGTATTGGATACATGATGCAAATTAAAATGTGAACTAGTGGCGCTGTCTACCGCATGAAGGCGTTCTACGAGATCCGTCGGAAGTGTGAAGCTTGGCTGGCAGAGATGGATTGGGTTCTCTCGACAAAGTGGGAAAAACCCTGTCAACCCCAGAACTGTTTGATGAAGAGACGGACACGGACGGGATGCTACCTAGTGAGTCTGGTGAAAAACACAAAGAATTTGCAGAAGATGTCGCGAGAATTCTTGGCAAAGCATGCCTTGGGTCCATGTTTCGGTTGTCGGGTGGCGATGCCACTGTCAAGGTGGACCATTTGGTCGGCGTGTTGGCAAGAGAACGGATGCTGAGTGATATTATTATCGACTTCAGCCTCCGCTGTATCTGCAACGCAGTTGGTGAATGTTTTGCTATTGACTCCTACGCTCCGACGATGGGCTGCCTAATAACTCCAGTAGGGCGCATTTCGATGTACCATTACGCTGTTATGCCCGTTCACTTGAACAACAACCACTGGGGAATAATCATGGTGCGCATGAACTACCGTCAAGATCCACCCACCTTCACCCCCTACTGCTATGAGCCTTTGTGCAACGGCTCGTATCGGGCGGCGATGGAAGATACTTACGAAGTTACTGTGGCACCGTTTCTGCGAAACTGGCATAATTCCTCTATGCGGCTCACCGAGTCACCGCTAGAATCAAGCGCAGTATGGCTTGACGCTCCAAAACAACCAGACGGAACGTCGTGCGGTGTGTTGTGCATTGCTCAGGCGTATGCGATGCTGAGAGATAGCTTCAGCTTTTCCAGAACTGCTGTCACACGTGATGATGTTGCTGCCATGAGACTCAGAATACTTTGGATGATTCTTTCGCAGCCTGAAGTGACAACTCGATCCAACAAGCTCGATCGAATAGTGAATGCTACGGATAAAGCTCTGCTTGCAACACTAATGAAATAGAATAAAGCTGTTTGGTTTTGCATCACAACGAATAGATTAACGTGCTTCACTTTTAACGCTGACTCACTAGTGCCTATCAAGCATTATATTGCAGCACTCCCCCAGCATCAAACTGTATGACATCACGTAGCCTCTGTCCAAAGCGACGGCCCCAACTGCAACTGCT